ACATCCCTGCCAACTTTTCCGTGCATGCAGACCGAAACAAACAAAAAGCTAAGCCAAGATCTGATGTGTAAGAACAACTTTTAACCACTAAAAAAGAGGTCAACAATGCTCTTATCGTTTATAAATTGACATCATATTTGAGATTAAAGAGCAAAGATAACGTTGATTACTTCTGACAAAGATGAAAAACGTAGAATGTGTTTTCAGTGCAGTTATCAAATAGTTACAAAAGAACCCTGGTTTTATTTTACTGTAATTGGAGATCTTTAAAATCATCTAGGATTGAGCAAGAAGGTATAAATGTTCTCCAAATGTATAAATTCAGGGGGTGTGAGGTGTGAGATGAGAGGGAGAGAAAAAGTGTGAGTCTACCATATGATCAACAAATCACCTATTTTTTCTGATAATCAGACCTAACATACCATAATTGCTTCCATATCTCCTCTCTATTTTCAGCGGGTACATGGCCTCACATTTCATTCAAATGAAATTGGGAAATGTTGCAGCCAAACAGGGAGGGAGTTTTTACAGTGATGTTGAGAGTATGCCAGAATGCCCTCCCACAAACTACAGACAGATGCTTTTAATAAGTCGAGAGTACAGAACCCATACCGCTATTGCCTTTATTTTGTATTTATTTAGCTAGATCCTGATGGAGATACATTCTGACCGCCTATTTCGCAAAGCCATGCAGCTACAGACTCATGTCAATTGAAAGTAATAAGAAAAGTTTGTGCCACATATGTGCTCGCATGCTGCACTTAAAGGATAGTTCACCCGAAAATGAAAATTATGTCATCACCCACATGTCGTTTCAAACCTGTATGACTTTCTTTCTTCTGTGGAACATTAAAAAGGATATTTTGAATGGTTACCATTGACTTCCATTGTATGGCTGAAAAAAATGACGTATCTTAAAATATATTTTTTTATGTTCCACAGATAAAAATGTTTTCGGAAACACACGAGAGTAAGTAAATTATGACAGAATTTTCATTTTAGGTTAAACTATTCTTTTAAAAAATATCTGCAATATTATTTTTCGAGTCGCCTTGAGAAAGCAACATAATATGTGTGCTGGAGATTCAATCGCTAAAGTTGGCCAGTCATTTCTGGAGAAAAATATTTATTCATTTTCCAGTGCATTTCCTCGGCTGCAGGTTTTGAGAGATCCGCTTTTTCTCAGCAAAGTAAAAAACCTTCTAACACGGTGTGGAGAAACACATAAGCACCCAGTGTGCACAAAGAGGGCTACATTTTCACGTTACCCCGCTTCATGCCTACTTAAATCAAAATGAAAGTATAGCATATGACTACACTTATGCACAGAGGGGAAAGCTTAACATAGATCAGACATGAAAAAGTTCAAGACCAACACAGAGGCCAACAGATAATCTGTACCCCTCCATGTCACCCACAGCGAAACCCTTAGAGCCCTAGACAGCTTTTGGAGGAAGCATTAAAGCTTACAGCCTTCTCAATGGGTAGGCCAATAAAACAAAGGCAGATTACATTCTTAAAGAGGCACGTTTATCCAAGAACGTCGCACTGTTTCCAGAATAACCTCCCAACCTGAAAGAGGACACAAGGCGTTCGGATCTATGACGGCTTGGGATCTACATTGCCCTGAGGCTCGGGTATGGGGTTACACAGTTATGTGAAACATTTGGATTTTTCCTAGCTTTTCACAGTCACGCTCAGATTTTGGTTTTCAAATAATGCGTTTGTCCGTATAGTGGCAATAACAGAGGTTTTCTGAGCACTGGCTAGTAATAGCTGCAGGCTCACTTGTGAAACAAACGCAGCTGTATTATTGGACTCTGTTATGAATGTGGTATCTATCAATAGAGAATCACAATGAATGCAAACATCTGTATTCTGGTGATGTGGCTGGGATTCTTGCTGTATTACAATATGTAGAGTTGGGCACTTTGAAATGACGATTTGGTAATATTTTACATCCTTGACAAGACAATACAGCAAAAAAAGACAGTAATAATGATTATGACAAGTTCTCAAATGCTCACAAGAAAATCCAAAAGAGATGTCAGCTGTTTTCAGCATGTTGATCAAAGAGATTCATGTGCAACCAAAAGAGGAGGGTTTTGAAACTCAAACTCATATAGAAGGTGCTCAAAACTTGCATTTTAGTATATTTGTATATATACAAATATTTTTTTTTTATTGGCATCTATGGTTCCAATGAGAACCTTTAACATCCTTGGAACCTTTCCATTTCACAAAAGGTTGACTTTTTAATGATTAAAAAAAAAAAATCTTTAAAGAACTGTTCGATCAATTGTTCTCATGGGAAACAGTTCTTATATGCTACTGCTTTGAAAACCCCATTATTAATGGTATGCTTGTTCAAACATTGATTATGAACATATTCTTTTTTTCTGTGGTATAGTTTGTGAATTATGAAGGTTGTTTAAATGTATTTCTGCTTAGACTCGTAGCTACAATGTCATAGGGAAGTGTCTGAGCGGCTAATTGTTTCAGTATCTCGTTCATTTTGAGCACTAAATGACCAGTGTGTCGTCATTTCAGGTTCAGAGGAAGCCAAAGTCTGAGTGGCTTCAGCTTTGCCGAGGCCTGAGTCAATTAATTGCTTTGTTGAGCTCATTAGTTCATGGTCCGCAGGTCTTAGTCCTTTTGTGTCTGTGGTTCAAGTGTGTTTTCTGATGTCTGCCTTGAAAAGAAGCCCATTAAAAGCAAAGGAAGGAACAGCAAATTGCACAGACGGATGACTCAGGTTTACCATTCAGTTCAAGAAAACAGTCCGATTCACCAAAAGCACCTGAGCCTTTAATTGGAGACAGGAAGTGCAACATAAGTGAGGAAAATAAAAGGTCTATTCACGTTAAAGAACTAAGAAACAATTCTTACTTCCAACAAACTTCAATTATATTCTTTAAAATAAAGTCAACGTATGTTTTGTTTACAAGCCTCTTACCTTTTATTACAATTAACAAATACCATTAAACTAAAAAATATATATTTGGAGCAGAATAACATTATATCACAGTAAATAACATGCTTAAATGTCCATATTATACTAGCTGCCAGCCTATAAATTATAGATACCCTTAACAAGCGTCACCAAATAATTTGTGAGACTGCCAATAAAAAGCTCTCATGAGCATCATAAAAAGGGCTGAATTTTACTTAAATAGCACTGACTTTTTACTATTTTGATGTAAACAGTGAATTTTTAAATATAAATGATCAAATAGTAACCGTTAAAGATCACAAAAAATATCATAAAGCTCACTGTTAATGTGATCAGTATTACTTCGAGGCTCATTAAGTGTAAGTATATGCGATTGTTTGCCTGTTATATAATTCTCCAGGTGTAAATCATACTTTTGATTGCTCAGAAAAGTAATAAAACATCTCTTGTGTTTAATACTGATGGTTGCCTTACCAAGCACCGGTAAAAAGAACATCACAGACAAGTATCAAGTATCTGATGATTGTTAATGCGAGCTACACAAAACTCATTACAGAGTAATGGTTCCTCCAAAGACAAACTGATTAGCAACAATCTGAAAATAATGCTGACAAATACAGTAAAACAGATTTACCTTAAATACATCTCATGTTTCTTCGAAATGTCTGCCATGAACGGATCTCTTAGAATATGTTGTTTTAAAGTTATCAAGGTTCACTGTTCTTACAAGATGACTTTTTATGTCTTTCCTGTTCTTTCTTCTATTCTTTTATCCTCTTTGATTTTTCAATATCGGGGATGAAAAAGACTGGATTTCATTTCTAGCTACAATACCTCAGGATGATGATATGAGAAGCACAACTCTACAAACCGAATTTCTAATATGCTCTTTGCTCATGGCAAAATTTTAAACATGGAAAGGAACAATGTGCATGATAAGGTTATAGATATGAAATCAATCCTTGAAAAAAAAAAATACAGAGAAAAAAGATAAAAGAGCTTTAGAGTTGAGTTGAGTTTAATTGAAACTGTAGTGTCCTATGGGACAGGGCTACAAGTTAAATGATACCCACATTTTAGCAACAACATCAGAGGGTATATGGGAGGCCCTCTTTTGGTAGGCACCGCTACCATGAAATCTTCATAGGCTAGTAAATTTCGCCATGCATAATTCCACTATGCCCTGAGAGGGTACATCTCTTAAACAGTGCTGGAGTCAACCTGTCATTTTCTCTCAGGCAACAGCCAAATTTCCAGGGACTAAAATATAAGAACAGAGCAACAAATTCATGCAAGGTTAAGTATCCTCTGTATCCCCTACTTTGCACCGATAGCTGGCAATGAATTTTAATGTCTCGTAGCTGAGCTTACACAATAAATCTGTGGCATCCACCAGCCTCAGCGGACAGAGGAGCTCCACTCTCATCTTTATAACTTCCACATGTGAGTTATTTAATTCAGCATGAAGTATATAAGCTGTGGTTCTGCATGTGGTCACACTGACATGTCGAACACTGACACTTATCCAGGCTGTACAAAATTGTTTTCATCATTACAACATCTCTGTGTCCATCCATTTAACTTGTCACAATAATTTCTGTCGTTTCGTATCGATTTTTATGAGTTTTCAGAGTTTCAACTTGATTTTCTTCATCTGGAATTAAATCCATACTTCAGGTTATAACTTTGGCATTAAACTTAAGTTTGAAAGTGCAGATTGCAATGATGAGATGCAACAGTGATTAATTCCATCCTTCTGAGAGTTTAATTGAAAAAAGTATTTCAAAATCCCCATCAAATATAAAAATATACACAAAATGCTTTAGTGGGATAAAGTACAACTGCAAACAGTTCACAAGACAAGTCCCTATTGAGCTGAGCATTCTTATCAACATCACATGGCAAATCACCTGCTGCATCATTTATATTGACCCAATTTAAGGCATAGTTCAGATTTTGAGATAAAAATAGAGTAACTATGCCTCAGTTGATCGTTTTAGGAGGGAAAAGCAGGTAAAACATCCCAGACTCATGCAGAGGAACAAACCTGGAGGACACGAGCACTCTTGCCCTACTTCTCGAGCTGTGCGAATTTTCGACACTCCCTCTCCGAATCTCTGAGAAAACAAATATATATTTATATGATATACATATATACATTGATAACTGAAAATTACCAGGATATTTTTTGTTATGTTTAAGGATGTTTCATTTAATCCTAAAACAGTAGGCCTACACAATGCAATGCGTAATTCAAAATTCTGGGAAAACACCATTGAAAAATCAATACAGAAAATTATTTCATATTTTTTTTACTGTATGGTATGAACAGCCATTCTCAAATTTCATTTCATACTTTACAAAATTAAAATATTAGAACATCATAAATTTTATACAAAGACAAAAACAAACTGAAAGCAGGATAATTGACTTTTTTTGTATTAATGCTTATAAAAGCAGCAAATAAATGTTGAAAATAGAGTCGCCTCACCTCTTGCACAAGTTTCTCTATCGCATCCCGAAGAGTCGCGTTCGCATCCAGTGTCGCGTGCGCAGGTTGAATCACAGACAGTCGCTCCATCTCCAGAAGCTCAATTTTACGCTCAAGATGAGATGTTTTGACGTTCATAAACAGACAAACTGCCACCGAAGACGCCGACAACATGAAACATACGAGGGTTGTTAAACAATGAAATATTTGTGATGTGTGATGTCCATTGCTCTGTGATGACTTTGACGCGTCTTTTGAATCCCCAGTTGAAACCATTTTAACCAGTTTTGGCATTATGGTTAAAATATTATCCTTGTTCTTGAATCCTCTTTTGAGACTCGGGTAGACCTTTATTTCAGTAAACTGGAGTATATGGCTTCAGCGCAACTGCGGCTGACAGGAGACGCAACGATGTGACGCACGCTATAAGAGAGCGTGTACTACTGAAAAAAAGTGTGCTGCGCGAGACAAGCTGACGGTCGCGCGCCTCTCCGGTTAAATGGTTTCCCTCTGAAGTGTCTCGGAGAATCCAGCCAGCCCTTTTTTTCGCTGCTCAACAAAACTATGTAAGCGACGAATTGTATGTGCGTGTGTGTGTGTTTGGACATAATTACGGGTTATAATGACTTATACTGTCTTTTTACGAGTTGCGTTGCATCGCGCCTCGTAAACATAAAACCATGTCTGCATTTGTGATCGGAGAAACGACAAACAACAACCACTACTCTACACTGCTCAAAACTTGCGTTTGAATCGTCAGTGTCAAATCCTTTAAATATGAAAACGTACTTACAGGCTGTGAGTCAGCATTATTTGTCAGCATCATAGACTGTGGTCAGCATGCGCCTCGAAGGGGATACAGGGGAACTGAATTCCTTTTATACAGAATATCTCTTTGGGTTTGAGACTTTAGTCTTTGCAACTTTAGGGATCTTATCTATTCACGAACAGCTTGTAACACTCCAAAGAGAAAGGAAAACTTGAAATCGCATCATATGACCCCTTTAATCTCACTGCGACTGTGTGCGACAGAATACAATTTGGATGGCGCAAACTGAACTGCAGATATGATGCAGTGTGTCCAAAATAAACTCATGCAAAGGGTCAAAGGATGAATGTTTTGTGCATAGCACTTTGCATGAGCCTCTGAATCAGGGCCGGCCCGTGGCATAGGCGACATAGGCAGTTGCCTAGGGCGCAAAATGACTGGGGGGCGCCGCACAAAAGTTTTTTTCTCAGAAGAGCGCCCTCTTGTGACCATCGTGCGCTCCTACACCCATATATTAAGCAAATACTGACAATTAAAATGTTAGTACTGATCGATCATCGAACTGATTAAAATAATGTTAGAATAAAATAAAATTGACATTTTCTGCGTCATGAGGTAATTATAATACATCATCATAACGCATTAATTATGCATGGCGCAAGCATAATTTTGCCATTTATGTGCTCTGAAAGGATCATTTCTAATAAATGAGTGAAAAAAAACAAATGATCAGGGGCACAAGGCAGGAAGTGACGCAAAGAAGACCACCAATATATGGTAAGAATCACAAGTTAATCACTGTGTATTTGCCCTTGATGTTTATGCAGTATTTTGAAACAGCCTTTTTAGAACATCTTAACTGGCAACACCGACACTGTGGAACGTTTTTGCTTGAGTTAACTGCTTATTTAATTTTACTTTATTTTCTGTAAAATAAATGTAAGCTTCTGTAATGTTGTTTTAATTTCAGTTACATTACTGCTTGCTTTTAATTCACCAAAAGTGCACTAAATGTCTTTTGAAAAAGACCATGACTACGCACAAAACGGAAATGAAATGAGTATGCTAATTAGATTAACTAGCTAGCTTGTTGGCTAACACCTACAAATAAATTACAATAGGTCGCCTTTATTTTGTTGCCTTTGTTGTCTGTTAAGACTATTTTAGGCTTTCCATATTTCTCTTTGTTGTAATAAGTACTTGTCACTGTAGGCATAGTTGTGGGTTGCATTTCTCTGTTTGGGAGTATAGCTCATGTCTGGTCTCTTCGATATTTTAACCGATTCTATCAGAAAATACCTACAAATATAATAGTTTGTTATTTTGCATTTTTTTGTTGATTTAATTTCTTTTTAATTTAATTTAATTTTTTGTGTTATTCTTCAGGTGACTGTAAGTCACATTTGTTTATTTATTAGCTACTTATGTTTATACTTATCAGTATGTTATGTTATATTATAGTAAAGTTATGAAAAAAAAATGTATGGTGGGGAGGGGGGGGATCTAAAATCTCGCCTAGGGCACCAACAGAGCCTGGGCCGGCCCTGCTCTGAATATCAATTAGTGCTTTATTGCAGTAACTCTCGTTTCTTTCTGTCTATAAATAAAAACCACACAATTTAGTTGCAGCAAAGATGACTTGCTTTACATCCTGCAAATTCTCAAGATTTTCCCCACATGAGGTCCATGTGCTCAGTCCAAAAATACATCAGCACTAAAGACTGCAGAACTAGAAGAGCATTTGTAAAGAACAGACCTTTTGGTGCCATCTGCAGGACAGACATTATAAAAGCAGTAATCTATTAAAAAATAAATAAAAATAAAAATACAGCATTGCAGCATTGTCTGAACGTCCGTTCCCTATTAAAAAGAATGACAAAATAAAGACACAAATGTTGTGCATTCAGAGCATTCAAGTTTAATTTGCCAAAAGTACAGAGGAATTTGGCCCATATAATCAAATTGACAATAAATATGGACAGAGGTAATGAAGCAGGCAGTCTTAAAGCAGACTGATACAGTCAGCAGCAGTCTCCCTGGGAGCAGTATTGTTCATTTTGTGTCGCCTCCAAGTCACTTTCTTTCTTTTCTTAACAGGTTGAAAAAGGGATGTCCGATAGCCTGCTCCAGGGTGATTCGTTTGGATGAATCATACTCCATCATCTTCTGCAGCAGGTCAAAAAGCAGCTCGTGCTCCGGGGTTTTACAGGACATGTATTGCTGAGTAAGGAGCAAAGATTCAACTATATTATGTTCATCAAGGCTACCCGAACAGAAATATGTCTCAGTAACATACCGGCATCTGTACATCTCCAAAATTAGTAGTCCACAATACTTTTAATTTAAGTATTAAACATACAGAGCAGTTACTGGCGGAAAAATTAAAGACCACAGGAATTTCACACCAGAAAACAACCATCATTTCAGAAAAAGAAAAAAAAAACATTGTGTTTTCATTCTAAAACCTTTAACATTTTGTACTTGTGCATATGAATAGTACAACTCTGAGGCAATAGATATCATTATAAACTGGTTTACATGAGTAAAACTTTTTATAAAGATACAGTACTAGCAGCATAATGTAATAAAGATTTGGGGTCTTGGGAATAAGCAGTTCAATGTTTAATAATCAATATATCATGATCTTTACCTTTAGAGGTTTACAGTGTTTCCTCACGTATCTCCCTGCTGAGCTGTGCTCATCCCAGTCCAATTTGTCATGATGCACATAACGCCGTTTCCTGACAACGAAGCACAGTCATACATCAGACCATGAAAAATCCAAAAACATCGAATTTCTTTGATCAAGTAAGATACTTTTATTTATAAGCAAGTGGCACAAACTCCTAGTCTCAAGTTATGATACTTCACCTGGTTTTCTGGAGTAGGTGTGCAGGTATGGGGCCTAGAACCCTCTCCATCATTGCCAGATGCTCTTTACTGTCGTGAGTCTAAAAAGAGGGGGTTTTGTAAGTATTTTGCATTTAAAAATCAAGCCACAAGGCATTCAGTAGAATAAAAAAGCCTGTACACATGACTTTGCACCTGAAATAACGTTAACCCCAGATAGAACTCAATCAGGATACAGCCCAAACTCCACACGTCACATGCCTGGTTCCAGCCCAGTTCTGCCAGCAGAGATCAATATTTTGCAATGGTTAAAATCATGACCACATTTTAGTGAATTAAACGACAGCATAAATAATAGTGCAAACAGTTCACCTAATATAACTTCTGGAGCTCTGTAGTGGCGGGTTGACACCAAAGAGGTATGATGCTCGTGGTCATAGGTAGCATTGCCAAAGTCCACAACTTTCACATCCAACCTCTTCAAGGTCCTCTCATCTCGCTTCTGTAATATATTGACCATTATTGTCAGCATCCTCTCCTCACTATAAACCAACACTTGTTTGCTTATAGACATATACTACTGTTCAAAGGTTTGGGGTTGATGCTGTTTGATATTTCTGTGGAAACCATAATACATTTTTTAGGATTCCTTGAATGAAAGAATGAATAAGAAGTTCAAAAGAACGGCATTTATTTGAAATATACGGTAAATATTTTGTAATATATAAATGTCTTTTGATCAATTTAAAGTGTCCTTGCTTAAAGTATTAATTTCCTTCAAATAGAAAGAAAATCGTACTGACCCCAAACTTTTGAACTATAGTTTATAACATTTCATTATGCTCTTACTTACCATCTTGGAGTTGTATTTAATGTTGTAGTTTGAGTCCACAAATAGAATGTTTTCAGGCTTAAGGTCGGTGTGCGTCAACTTATTTAGATGCAGAACTGGTGGCAAAAAAGTGATTTATCTATATTTAGAAATGATGTATAACAGTGATTTGTAGCATTGATGCTGTTTAGTAAAAATGTATACATCTATACTCACAGTGCACAGCTCTAAATATCTGGTCTGCCATGCACCTGATCTGGGTCAGTGAGAAGGGCATAAATCCATTCTCCTTCAGGAAGTCATATGTGCTCAGTCCCAGCAGCTCAAACACTATGCAGATGTGGCCGTGGTGATCGAACCAGTCTAGCATCCGGACACAAGCACTGCAAAGAGGTAAAGGTAAGTTATTATGGCCAAAAACCTTGTCTATTTACAATGACCTTGTCTTTTATTTATCTACAATGAAATACACTCAAACACTCACAATCTCTTTTCTTCATCAACCGAGTTTATCCGCTCAAGCACGTCAACTTCTGACATGGCTGCCTCACGGTAGCGCTCAATATTTTTGATGATCTTCAGCGCCATTTTTTCATTACTTCTGGGAAAAAAAATAAATAAAAATTGTTTACATGCATTCATTTTCATCAATTCGAATGAATACAATCCAGTTTCAGATTCTGAATGTTCTGTTTTTTATGAACCCTAAATTTAGCATTTTCTGATTCACATTTTCGTTTACATTTATGTATTTCAACAAAACTTCAGCGTATGAACAAAGGCTTGATGACATACCTAAAGGGAAAACTGTCAGAAGAGCTTATTTAGCAAATATTTTGTCAATATACAGTCTATTCCACTGGCCTGTTTGTAACATTTAAATAAAAAATTTTAAAATATGCATGTTCGTAAGAAGTAAAACGCATGTAAAAAAAGATCTTATTATAAAAGGGCTCTGGTAAACATAGGCAACACGGCACTGCACATATGCGCAAGGTATTTTTGAATTTTTGAATCGTACTTAAACGGTTACATGCATATATTTATTGATCAGATTATTTCAGGTCTATAACACTCCTTTCAATATGACCAAAATTATATTCAGATTGAGCTAACTGATTATTTGGGTGCATGTAAATGAAGTTACTGTTAAAAAGAAGTAAAAAAAATCAGGCTTACTTTGAATGGTCGAGGCACTCCACCACTTTTCCAAAGGCTCCTTCGCCCAGAGTCCCTACAATCTCATCTATAAACGGGATAAAGAGGCAGTCATAAGTAAAGCTTTGGGACAGGAGGATGCAACATACAAAAGCACAGATTTTACAGTACTAACAGGGACTTGACAAGTTCATTCCAGTTAAATCAGATTCATTGAATATAAAAGTCTGTGCCAAATTAAAGTTTCACGTATGATAGTTAATTTCAAAGTGGTTAATATTAGAAGTCTTCAAAGGTCCCCTTATAACCCCCAAGTGTAGGCTGAATCGTCCCACTAACAGACACAGAACAGACAGTTATATAGAGAAAGGTTTGTGTTCTATACATCTTGCTCTTAGCATGTCTCCATTGTGATAGACCAGGTGACCCTCCTCATCATCCTCAATACTCTTGGTTCTTTTCCTGCGATGACTTCTCTGGAGAAGGGGGAATCATCATCACCACCATCAAACACCAGTCAGAATCAGGCCCGTACGCATCATTCATTCATTCAGCGAGGGGGGGTTGATGAAGGGGAGGGAGTGATTCGCCAGGCCACGACGGCAGCAGCAAATTCAAATTCATCGCCAACAACGGCACAGGGCCACCATAGTGTGTGTTACAGAAGAAAGACATGGCAACACATTTTCAGACAGGAAACAACTTTCTTTGAAGTGCACTTAAGAACAGCTAATTCTGTTCAAGACCCTCATCCAATCAACAAATAGCCATTTCTGCAACCAACTGATTCCTTGACCACCTTACTGCAAGTTTACAGCAGATGGTTTCTATGGTAAATCTGGACTTCCGAAACATTAACAAATACATCAGTTCAAGTAAAAATCGACATATTGACAAATCGTTTACCGAGTCTGAGCAGGGACTGCGGTGGCGTGATCGTTGGTGCTCTCTGCTGCTGCGTCGACTACGTCCTCTATGTGCAGACGACTGGCTGCAATGGTTCCCGTCTTTCTCCCTCTCCGTCTCCCAGACCGGGTCCACCCGACCCTTATAACCTCCATGTTCCAGACTGGCTTCTCTGGCCCTGCGCTCTCGCCACTCCAGCCTCTTTGAGCTAATGTGACAACTGTCAATAACACACATCAGACACTGAGGAAAAAGACACAGTTGTGCATATGACGACAATGAGATCTTTGACAGATAAACTTTGCTGCAATTTATCGACCCTTTCAGCAGGGGATAAGGAATGCTGAATCGTGATCTGCTGGGTGCTGAAAGCATCAAGTGTCTTCTTGAACGGGAAGTGTCCATGAGCAAGCTATACTTAGAAAGAGCCACAGAAACAAGCTCCGAGAGAGCGGTTATGAGTGAAAGTGATGCTTTAACCTGTCAATGTTGCAGCAGTAAATCGGTTAGGAAGATGCCTGAGTGTTGTGTTTGATTTAAACAACTTGCGATCCAAATCACAGCTGTCAGCCTATAGTACATAAGCAGAACGTTCTGTATTACACCAACTGGATACCATCCGGATTCATTTTACGAAAATCAAACTTAAAACAGTCCTTAATTTTTGTTAAAGAATAGCAGATGCTATTGCAGATGGTTAAAAAAGGAGACAGATGAATGAGAGCTTGCAAAAGCGGGTTTGTCATTTTCACTGGAAGATTCAGTTAGGACATTGATTAAAAATGATGAGGTCAAATGAAATTGTGAATGCATGGTTGAATGATTCATCACGATAAGATTAAACATGATTTGGAAAATAGAATTTCATTTCATAGCAACTTTAAAAGGGCAGACGACATAACTGCAACACACACTTATATATATATATATATATATATATATAAATAAATAAAAAAAGGTTACCTTCCGTTGGTGTGAGCACTAATAAAATTCTCATTCTTGGAGTGAATGGGCATTTACAAGCTCTCAGTTTGCATTTCAAAATGCCTGGGAGGGTCAAATGAAAACTAAGTAAACGGCTGTTAACATTTTCTACTGTACAAAAAAAAAACAATTGTGGCAGCTCTATGGACAGACATTGAAAACTTAATCTCACTACAAAAATTTTGGAACAAATTCCACTGGCAATCTAATGTCATTAGGATTTTACATCAATGGGATTCTCTGAATTGCAAGCACCGATCGGGACCCTCTGACAGGCCCGATTATACAGCACTTGTCACCCTGACAGTTTGCTTCTAAATCCAAGAACATGCTACACTATATCATTAGATCGCCGTGATTTTGCCAAGTAAGACATGTTCCGGGATCAACATCTTTTGTTGATCCTGGATCAACATAACGGTCCAAAAATATTGACTTACCCCTAAACCTAACGCTACCCATAATTTATTCCTAAAAACAGTGAGAAATGATAGCTGATTAACAAGGGTGTAGACCACCTAATCCTGATTGTAAGCCTAAAACAGATATTTCCTGAAAAGTTATCCCTCAATTCTGATTGGTTTGATAGGAATGTTGTTCCAGGATCAACGAGGATGTTGATCCAGGAACATGTTGTTGGTGAAATCAAGGTCACCATATCATTTCAAGGCACTGCAAACACGCAGAACAAGCTGGCAGGGCTCCATGCCAACAACAAATCTAACAGTCCAATACCATTTGAATTAAAACAAAATAAAATAATAATTTCACTTACCTCTCGCATGTCTTATAGTGATGAGTTCGGCCGAGCTGCCGCTCTCTTTCGCCGCTGCGCTTCGGTCTCTTGTGCACCTCCACTCTCTCCTCCCAGCTGTACTCCGCGATCCAGCCATCCGGCGACCGCATTCGCTTAGAACGCCGCATCTGACCACACCAGAATAGAAAAAGTCCAAGTCATAAAAACGACGAAAGGGAAACAGTATCTCAGGACATTCGTTGCACCCCGCTGGGTTTTAAAATTCAATCCAGCCAAGATGATGCCAGCTCTCCCCTCCTGATTTAGTTATTGAATTTCATGTTGCCGAGTTGGTTGCAGTTGTTTTGACTTGTTAAAAGTTCAGCTGAACATTTTACCATGCAGTAAATACGCGTTAACTAATATCACATAGCTTATTTACAGGGAATTAAACATCGCTAATTAGGTTTGGTTACTCATCTTTAACATTTATCCCAGCGCATTGAACGCAATGTCTCTTATTAAATGCAGAAATACATGTGACATCTATAAAATCAAACTCGCTATAAAAGCGACATCACGACAGTTTGTTTATAGTTGCATTTTTCGAATACCTGTTGCCTGGTAACAAAGAGCTAATCACACTTTAGCTTTAGCCACCGCCCTCTTATACAAACAAACACAATCAAGTTACAATGGCACACGATTGTGTACTTAGTAGATTATGTAATTATTTAAGTTCATGGTGAAATGCTTAATTTTAATTATTTATCAAAACCACCGTTTCACTCTATCCGTGAATGTTTTTCTTGGGCGGCTAGCCGGTTAGCATCCAGGCGAACGCAAGGCACATAGGCTTTATGTCACCCCCCGCAGCCTCGAGGTAATTAATAAACTTGTAAAAGAAAGTTTTATGTTACATGTTTAAACTTCAAATACACTCACCTTTCACCCGTTACTTTCAAATCGTAAAACAAGACACTTTGCTTTCCAGACGGAGCTCCACCACCCTTTATGACTTCCGCTTTACACTCTGTAAATGTTACATGTTTCCGGTGGCGAGGATTTCTGGGTGGACACTCAACAAAGCGCAGGTCTTCTTGCTTGTCATATTGTAGAGGATTCTTGGCAATAGAATTTAAAGATATTTTGTTTATTATTATTATTATTTAACAGCAGTAGACCAACATATATACAAAATGATAAAATAGATTGTTAACTGTTATATAAAGCAGTCCAAGAGCACAGCAGCCCGAAATTTCTATTTTAAGTGTATTATTGTCCATTTTAACCAAACATTCAATTTAAACATTCAGATGTCTTTGTGTCAACTTGTCCTGTTGCCTCCTCTGTAAAATATTCTACATCTTTTAATTTATACACAAAAAGACTGCAAATACAACTTTTCATTCTAAGAACTGTTATTATTGATAGACTACATCTTAATAATTATACTGTATTCACCAACGAAAGGGCATAATCAAAATCAGTTGTTTTTACAATTATATTATTATATTATTAATATTATATTATTATATGTTATGGCTTTATTATATTATATTATTATATGTAATTCTTCACTTGACAGTTTTAAAAAACACTAATGAATACAATATTGTAAAATACATCTTCTTATGACTTAAGGGATGGTTCACCCAAAAATAAAACTTCTGTCATAATTACTCACCCTCATGTCGATCCAAACCTGTAAGACCTTTGTTCATCTCCGGAAGACAAATTAAGATATTTTTGATGAAATCCGAGAGTTTTCTGACCCTGCATAGACAGCAATACAGCTACCACGTTCCAGAAAGGTAGTAAGGACATCATTAAAATCAGTGGTTCAACCTTAATTTAATAAAAGAGAAGAAACTGAAGATTTTTGAGTAAAGTCGTTATTTTGTTTTCTTTGCGTACAAAAAGTATTCTCGTAGCTTCATAACATTACAGTTGAACCACTGATGTTACATGGACTATTTTAACAATTTCCTTATCTGTCTGGGCCTTGAACGTGTCAGTTGCGTTGCTGTCTATGCAGGGTCAGAAAGCTCTCAGATTTCATCAAAAATATCTTAATTTGTGTTCCGAAGATGAACGAAGGTCTTACAGGTTTGGAACGACATGAGGGTGAGTAATTAATGACAGCATTTTAATTTTTGGGTGAACTATTCCTTTAAAATCAGGGTTTTCAAACGGGTCTGTAGACCTCTAGGGGTCCATGAAGAAACTGAAGGGGGTCAAATGAGAAGATGTAGACCTATAGGCATAAAACACATAGAAATTCCATTAAAGATTGTCATGACATTTCCTAATTATATAATCAGGTTTTCAATATATAATGTTATTAAACCTTTTTTATTTTTGTAATCAAAGTTATTATGAAGTGTTACTGAGAAAATATTTTTGAAAAACGTTTTGTAGTGGGTCCCTGGGTCTTTACATCACTGATTCTGCTGAGAATACTTACAGCATGTCTTTCTACTTTGTCACCATCTATAGATCGCTTACTGTGTGCCTGATTTATGAACTTAAGCGATTGCCCTGAAGTTTATTTATAAAGCACTTTTTTTAGAAACATTATTTTATATTAAAAATATTTATATTAAAAGTCAAGTCAAAGTTTATTTATAAAGCACTTTTTTTTAAACAACATGTGTTTACCAAAGTGCTGTACAAGCATGAATAAGGCAATATGACAAATAGAATAACAAAGTTAAAAAAATATGAAATATTATAGAATAATGTAAAATAAAATAAAATAGCAGCTCTCACACAGTATTAAATGCCATACTATAAAAGTAGGTTTTTAAGCTAGGCTTAAAAACAGTAAGTCCCCCCTGGAGTAAACAATATAACTTCCATCTTATCCTCGTTAAATTTTTAAAAATTTACTGCCATCCAGGGTTTAATTTCCTCAAGGCAACACAAAAGTGGCGCTATAGAATTTGGATGTTTTTACGTACAGTCACCCCTGCTCTTCAGCCTTACACGAGGGACAACTAACAATGAATGGTCAGCGGACCTAAGTCCCCATGACGGAGCATATGGCTGTATTAAGTCTGAGAGGTAAGCAAAAACTTTCAATAGGGCTGTCTCTGTGCTGTGTAGGGATTTAAAACCAAACTGAAATACCTCATGGAGACCATGTAAATTTAAAAATGAGTACAGTTGTGTGAATACAACTTTCTCCAGTATCTTGGAAAGAAACAGGAGTTTTTAAATGGGCCTAAAATTTGCAAGGACCGATGAATCCAAATTATGTTTTTTGATCACAACTCTTTCTCTGATTAGTCCCTATGGAATACTAAATCGGTAAGGGATGGTAATAAAAGCACCAAACAACACTCTCTATAATGTAAAAGTCAGTGTTTTAACATAGCGATAATTTCATTAGGACATGAACTAATGAAGACTCGTCTAAAATTTAAATCCCTGTTTCCTTCAGTAAAAAGGCCCTCTTTTGTACTGTTAGATGACATCACCTTGTCATGGCCTTAGGGAATAATTTAATCATTAACTTTCACCTTCCCCATTCACACTCACCTTGACTGACCAATGAAAAAGAACTATAAAAAAGGATACTTTCCACAATCATAAACATTTCTCCCTCAAATATCTTAGTTGACATTTTACTGCAGTATTTCCCTGCATTATGCAGTTTTTAACCTTAGCCGCCTGACTTTTAACCCCAAGGTGCTCCAGACGGATTGTCCCTGTATTAATTGCATGGTAGTGTAAGATGAGGCAAGCTATTTTTTGTTCTCTTAATCATAGATGGCACAAAATCTCATTTCAACACATTTAATGAATTTAATTAATCTGAATATCAACATTTGCAAGATTTAGTCAGTTTAATTTTGTCGCTAGAAAATAGTTCTGTGACATTGTATTAGGTTTAATATCAAAGGTTTTTGTGTTTGTATGTTAATGAGGGATTTGTGAACACATTAAAGTTTCTAGATTTGTGAAGAGAAAAAAAATTATGTTTATATTTTTAAGTAAAAATGATAAGTAAA